AAATTCATGCAAAACTCACCACGCCAAGTACAGCGCACGCCAGTCTTACAGTTTAATAATACATATGTTTAGTGTTGTCATCTTACAACCCAGTGAGTTCCTAGCACAGACCCTGCCCCCGATTCGCCACCCCCTACCCCGCACCCCAGTTATAGGATGCCATGAAGTGTTTCCAGAGGCATCTGGCAGGCATTCTGGCAGGCCATGAGCCCGTGTTAGCCAAGGGACTGAATTTGGTGGCTTGACTGAGAAATACCTCCCATTGACTTATGTATTTGAACACTTGACCCTTAGGCCGGGAGTGCATGTGGCTAATAGCCTGGCGACCTTTACACTATCTGTGTGGTTAGGTCACTTCTAATCCTCCCCCAGACCCATATTGTAGGCTAGTTTTTCTCAGTCAATCTATAGCACCCATCTTTATGGAAGATGTCACATGTAGTCAAGCAGAACACTAGGACCTACTAATTCTAAGTGACCATTTTCTTCCCTTTATCAACTGTTCTTCTCCAGAGAACAAGAATTCAGCAGATGAGCCTATATTTCCGTGTTTATGTGTCTCCTCGCCCTGGGGTTGGGCACAAACCTGACAGCTCTATGGGTCAGGACACGAAGGAGCCTGCCTGAATTGGATGGTTTCATAAACAGACATGGGAGAGCAAAGACAACACAGCTGTCTGTGAGACTGTTGGTGAGAGACGAGAGACCAGAGAACCAGTTCCCTGGGCTTCCAGACTACAAGAAACAAACACCATATTTGTTTTCCAACTAGGAGAGTCTGCATGGCAATCAGGGGGCCATCGTGAGTAGCTACACTGCTGTATCAAACCTACTATTCCTCTGCCATTTGGAGACAACTGCTTCAAGGTACCGAGGTACAAGATGAGATGGGGGATCCACACAAGTCATCGAGCATTGCTGCACTTCTCTGGCGACGTAACTAACTCCCTATTGGGCAGCGAGCACTGAGTGGAGCACTTTGCCAGTGAGCTGTGTATTCCTTGAGCCCACACAGGCTTTGGCAAAGCACTTCAGGCAGTGAGGGAACCATGACTCCCTTCTGGGTTAAAACTATTTTTCCTGATCACTTTCCCAAAGAGCAAATGGCCTTTCAACTCAGGAAAAGCTGCCGTGTTGGGGAACCCAGATTGGTGTGTTGCGTGGGTGGGCATTCTGCTGTGTTTAGAAACAGATGACCATCAGTAGAACCCATGCAAAGCCTCCATTCTCTCTCTCAAGACCACTTTGTTCTTGAGCCCACTGAGCAAGGACAAAGGACGGCAGGAAGGTGGTTTCCACACACCCAGGAAACAGGCCTTCCTGCCTAGCTGATCCATGAAGGCCTCCCTTCTGACTTGGCTGTTTTCTCTTGGTCCTCATGGAAAACACAGATCCTCAGACTCTGGTCATGTAGAGAATCGCTTTTCTGGGAACTACTCAAATTTAGATGTTTTTATTTCTCAATAGATGGGATCTAGCCTGGACACTGGAGAGAGAGTTGATTGGCTCAAATTTAAAATATGCCTAGAACAGCAGTTGTAATTAGACCATTTGATGACTTCTTATCCTTTTTTGTCATTTATCAACATCAAGGTGTGAAGAGGCCAGGACTGAATCAGGATACAATAGAAAATTCTGTCCATAGCCGGGCGTTGGTGGCGCATGCCTTTAATCCCAGCACTCGGGAGGCAGAGGCAGGCGGATCTCTGTGAGTTCGAGGCCAGCCTGGTCTACAGAGTGAGTTCCAGGACAGCCTCCAAAACAATACAGAGAAACCCTGTCTCGAAAAACCAAAAAAAAAAAAAAAAAAAAAGAAAGAAAATTCTGTCCATGTCTTCCTCGTGTCCCGGATAGGGGTATATGTTTCTCTGGGTGCCCCAGAATAGGACAGCCCACTTTTCTTCCTTGGCTGAATAGGAAATTGACCCTTAGGTCTATAAGAAAATTTCATTCATGGGGTTTGAAATTTGATAACTTAGGTGAATTTTCAATTCTTAAAATCATTGTTCTTATCACATAGTGTCTGCTTCCCATGCTTTTGCCTGGGTCATAGGTGAGATCTGCCTGCAGGTCTCTCAAGAATTGGCAGGTAAGCATGTAAACACATTGCATAGATAGATGCACATGCCTATGTATGCTGACAGGCCGAAGGGGAGCATGTGCTGACTGCTTAGCGCACAGAGCCCCACAATAGAGAAAACAGAGCCCCAATCTAGAAATCTGAGCTTGTCTTTTCTATTTTTCATTCGGCTATGTGAGACAGAAGTAAAAAGTGTTGGCCACTGTCTGTCCACAGAGGATGATTCTCACTCTTCAGTTCTCAGGGCACAGTTTGTAAGCTCTCGCTGTACTTGAATAGAGAAGGATTTCCCACACTCTCCCTTGCGCGTGACCCAGGGCTCTTCTACAAAGCAGAGACTGGCCTTATGTCCTACTTGTTTTGTTCTCAGAAGACTTGTGGTGTGGTGGCGGGAGGGCCAAGTAATTAGAGAGGTTTGTATGGTTTGGGGCAGCTAAACATGTCATGCAGTGGGGCTCACTCCAAAGTTAACAATTATCGTAACACAATATTTACCTCATGGGGAAGCAGCCATGCTGTCTGCCTCTTCCTTCAGCGAAATCTCCTGTGGAGCAGACTTCAAAACAGTGGAGACAAATGCTGGCTTTGTAGAGAGCACTGCTGGATCCTGGAAGTGCTGAGACTCAAGGTATCCCGTGGAAGTCTTTGGATCTGGGGTGGTCAGATATGTGTGCCTGATTGACAGCTCTATAACATTACACACGGTGCTTCCTGTTGATTCCGGCATTGTGGTGGAGTCCTTGTCATTTTCTTCAGCTAACAAGAAGTGAGGCACCGGGAGGTGGCTGTATTGATTATTTTTATTGATCGTATTATTCAAGCAGTTATCAAACTTAGGCTTAACTGCTCGCTCTCTAGACCCTGCTGTGACACAGGGCCAACAGTGGATTGTAATAGAGTTTGCTGCAAATAACGTGACTGACAGAGATCAGCCATGTGCGTCTTAATGTAGACTTGGAGCAGGGCTTCCCAGGAAGCTCAGGAAGTTTTCTCCTATCCTTGGGTCTAATTCAGGATGGAGGAAGCCAACCACCTGATTGTATTTCCTTTTTTCTGTGTCTCATTTGGATAGAGCAAGTAGAGTTACAGGCCTTGGTGATGATGGATCTTCTGTGACTCTACAAGCTGTTGGCTTCCTCATTGTCCCCAGAATAAAAGGCTACCTCTCCAGGGTGGAAACAGCTATGGTGGATGCAAGACAACATGTAGTACAGACTTCTAGAAGAACTTGTGACCAGGGTGAGAAGATTTATGGAAAAAAGGTAATTAGAGAATAAAGCAATTCAGTGGATGCTTGGGCACTTAGATGGCTATAAATATGACAGGTTTATGAGGAGTCTGAAGAGTACTGAACAGAAGACTAGCTCAACTAAAGGGAGGAAGAAACTGAACTGCATGTTAAATATCTTTATTCTATTTCTGTGTTCATGCACAGCTTTGCCAAAAGCCCCTTAGAATAAAATGCAATATAATATAATATAATACTATACTATACTATACTATACTATACTATACTATACTATACTATACTATACTATACTATACAAACTGCCAAGCAAGTAGATACACATGCATATGTTCACACATGGTCTCTCCCTGCCCCCTTGCTACCCTTTTAGTGGGAGGAGTCAGTCTGTTCCCTCCCTTGAAGAGCAGTAAGTAGTGCAGAGTCCAGGTACAAAATACACCACCTCCAGGAGGACCTCCTCAGAGAACTGCTCTGTGGGAACTGCCCACACACACACACTCACACTAATAACCGTTTCTCCCAGCCCTGCCATCAAGCCAGCCCTGGAAAACTGGTGCCAGCTCCCCTCAGGCTTGCATTGTAGTTAAGTTGGGTATCTAAAAAACCTAATATGCTCCTTTTGATGGTAAAATCTTGAGGTGAAGAGGGCAAAGAAAGACACTGTGAGCACGTCTGAAAAGCGGGGTGTGCTAAGCAAAATCACAGCATGGTAGATGCCAGCGTCTGAAGACTTGAGAGGGACAGGAGCTTGCTAGGACTGAATAAGTGCCCTGCTCTAGAGAGCTTCTGGAAGGTTCTTCCTGATCATGACCGTGCCTAAGGGTCACCTAGAGAAGGACCTAGAAGTAATATGCATAGAAGCCCTGAGAATAGTGTGTGTGTGTGTGTGTGTGTGAGAGAGAGAGAGAGAGAGAGAGAGAGAATGAGTGAGTGAGAGACAGAGACAGAGAGAGAGAGAGAGAGAGAGAGAGAGAGAGAGAGAGAGAGAGAGAGAGAGAGAGAGAGAGGGAGGGAGATTTGTGAGATGTCAGATGTCTATATCTCATTGAGGTAAGCATCTCAGTGAGGCATTTGGATAAAATTAAGGACTAGGACAAAGGACAAAGGCTTGCAGAGCAGGTAGTAGGTACAGCTAAGGAGTCATTTACACATGGGGGAACCACAGATATGTTCCAGGTGCTCACAGCCTTCCTGAGAGGCAGGAAGTGACCAACTAGGGGCAAAATGAGCAAATGCAGGTAAATCTCTGGGACCTTTCTGGGTCTTCTCAAAGGCCTTACTTCACCAGCACCCTGATTGCTCCGGCTGGGACTCCAGCTCTCTTCCTCCCTTGAGAACAAAGATTTCTTTCTGCGTTTCGTGGTGTCCTTCCCATTCTCTCCCCAGCTGCCTCTTCCCTCTCCGATCCACTCTCACGGGTAGGGATGACCAGGGCCGCATTCCTGCTGTACGTGGTGGTGAAACATCTGTAAAACCCATCTGAGCTTCCTGCAAAGGTGACACCCTAAGTCCAGCTGATCTGGTCCACGGAGCTGCAGTCTGGGTGTTTGTATCAGGCTTTTAGGTCACAGATTCCGACTCGGGCCACAGCCCCGCTGTTTGGGTGTCTGTGTTGTACTTTGAAGCACCAGTCACACACCACATTTTTATTAAAGACATTTATTTTAGATAATAAGGGGGATGAGGTATTCTGAGCAATCACAGCTTTGTAAGCGCTATAAATACGTATTTAAAAAAATCTAATAGGCCATAGCCAGAACTTGGATTTGTGGAAAATTTGCCATTAACACAACAGGATTACTAATTCACAACAAAGCCTCTCAGACAGACAGCCTATGGCCATGGGCAACTTACAAAGATAGGGGGGATTTTAGAACTATTATTACTGTTATAAATAATTGATTATCATTTATTATGAAACAATCACCTTTAAGCTATTACCACAGCTAACAAGTGATTGCTTGGAGATTATTGCTTAATCACCACTAAACAACCACGTGCATATGGCCTATGATAGTCATTGTTCATTATTGTTTTTTACAAGCACAGATGGCTTGGTACAATCAGTCAGGAAGACTGACGGGAAGTAATCTTTTTTAATGTAATCACCACATAAATATGTCAAATGTTTTTCTGTTTGTTTTGCTAACAGCATAACACGATTTTAATGAAGATGCTGACGATGGTGGGTTTTTTTCTATCTTATTAGACAAAAGGAAAATATGTACTCAAGCTTATTTATAAAACTTTATAAGAGCATTTATAACACAGAAGTATTCATCCCATTGGTACGTCTAACCTTGATTTAATCTCACATAAAAATTGTTACGACACAAGGGCAGTTCATGGTATACTCATGCAGACAGTCCATGTCAGAACAACATGCTGGTGAGTTATGGATGTGTCTGGCTTTGGAGAGGCTGGTGTAAAACCAAGAGGGTAGTGGTGGTGAGAGCCAGTGTAGAGATAATCCAGTCCACATACCTTTTGTTAGTGCAGTTAGTTACCTGTGTGAAGATACAAGACTCTGGATCATGTTTATTATTAGAGTTTTCATACTAAGAAATAGGGATTTGTAGGCAGAAGCCTGCACTCAGTGTCTCCCTTTCCCATACTCTGAAGACCCAAGAGTCTGAGCATTGTGTAGATGTATGTGAAAACAAGGAAGGCGCCATTGCTGGTCTCAGGAGAATCAGGTTTCGTGGGATAGCCAGCCTGACCGCAGGAAACCTGGAAGTGGGCCCTGGGGACTTCCTCTACATGCAGAATGGCCCTGCACACAAGTGGTCTGTAGATGTCCTGCAGGTCAGGGGAGGATTCATTTGGTTGGATCCGAGCAGCTGGCCGGAAGTCTGAACCTTGTGTCTGGTCAAGGTGCTATTGCCTTTGGCCACAGATGGCTGCAAGATGGTGGCCCATATGGTCACTTCCGATTGTACCGCCATCAGTGCAGCCATCTCCCTGTAGGAGGCTCGGATCACAGGCAAGCTGCTCCTAACTTGGGAGGCAGGGCGTGAACAGATGTTGAGAGTCTCCTTGGGGAGGCTCAGCATCGATTGCAGGAGAAGAGTAGCTCCAGGGACCCCATAGCTCCAGCTCTGCACCCAGCTGCTGTTGGATCCAAAGCCTGATTTCCTGTGAGCGGTGTTTGTCCCTGGAAGACTCTGTAGACGCTGCTTCCGGAGTGGCCATGCTCACATCATCGGAAGAGTCTCCCTTTCCTCTGAAAAGAAAGTATATGCAACATCTCTAAGAAATGAGAGGACTTAGCTGATGGGTCCTGGCAGCCAAATCTTTGGGAAATCACTACCTTTACCAAAATACTTCCAATTTTCTGGCACTAGCTAGCTTGAGCCAGCCAGACACGTTCCTAAGAGGCAGGAACAAGACCAATCGCACCAAAAGTCGTATGTCTCATGTAAATAAAGGCTCAGTTCCTAGAGCAAGTGGGGGTTGGTTTTATGCTGGGTAGATTCCTCTGCCCAAGGCACCCTTAGGTGCCCCATAGTGCTAGAGGAGACTTAGACAGTGCCCACCTCTCTCTGCTCTTGCTCTGATAGCACCGTGAGAGTAACTTCCCCCAAAGAGCTCATTTGAAGTTACCACAGTCCTAACCAGGCCTCCACAGTGGTTCTGGTCACTTAAAATAGGATGCACATTGAAGCCATCCTAGGGTCTAATGGGACCCACATCCGTGTCACATCACATCTGTGTACACAGATGATCTCGTTGCATCTTGCATTGAGCATAATATTCATGCAGAAGTTTCCATCGCATACAAACACCTTTAAGCCTATACCTGACTACTGGAGAGTCCTGCAGAATGACAAATGTTCTCTTTATGACTGAAGAAGTAGGAGAGAACCAACAAGGAAAGATAGAGAAAGGGACCTGCTGATGGCCACCAAGCCTGTAGATTGCTCTACTAAGAACGGTCTGTTACGGGGCTAGAAAGATGGCTCCATGGTTAAGAGCATCTGATACTCTTCCAGACAACCCCAGTTCAATCCCTAGCACCCATATGGCTGCTCACCATGGTCTGTAAACTCCAGTCCCAGGGAATCTGATGCCCTCTTCTGGCACGCTCAAGCAGGAAGCATACACACGGTGCACAGAGACACATGCAGACAAAACACCCATACGCACTGATAAATAAATTATAAAATGAATTGTTTCTTCAGTTGAGCCGTTTCCTGGCATCCCGGAAGGAAGTGCTGAGTTGCGCTCAGGAGAAGACACCACTTCGGCATTATTTATTTCGGATTCCCCAGACTTCCTTGTGGGGGGAGCACACCACACTGCTTGCGCTCCAGTGTTGACGCTGCACAGCACAGCCCACTCAGCTGGTCGGCATGAGCTCGTGTCAGCGTGTCTCCCTTAGACCTCGCAGCTTCCTGAGAGCCCACTGCCAACCCGCAGCAAGCGGGCTGCTTTCCCTTTGCAGCTGTGCCCTCGACACCTGCTTCCAGGGCCGAAGAAGACGATTGCTTTCCCAGGTATGAAGTAAGTGACTCCAGGGGTAGGGGACAAACGGGTCCCAAAGAACCCCAATAAGAGAATATGTCTACTCCTGGTGACAGAAGCCATCACTGTTACCAGTATTCACGACAGGAATTCATCAATAGCCCAGGTGAGTTGAAACAAGGAAGGATGTCTCCAAACATCCAGGATGTTAGCTGTCCTAGAGATGCTGACTTAACAGCTCTCCAACACCCCTCTCCTCAGCTCTTATCTCTCTCTACCCCTTCCTTCCCCATCATTTCAGGATCAACTTTCTAAGCACATAATTGAATGCAGAGTTTTAGAAAAGTTTTTGGAGGACCTGATGATAGTTAAGGTTGATTTTAAAGGTGTGATTGGTTTGATCACATGTTTGAAGAAGTTTGACTTAACCATCACCATTTTATCAAAGACAAACAACACTTAAACCTATGGTGCTAATCAATGTCCAGGCCATAGCATGTGAGGCCATTTAATCTAAATAAAGGAAAATAAAATACAACTTAAAAATTGTACTTTGGCCACAGGTGCCAGAGCTCATGTTCTCAGAGGCCACCTTAGCTTCCTGCAGCTGTGTGAGGCAGCACCGGCAGGGTTGGTTCCCATCAACGCAGATGCACATTGGACGACTCACAACAGTCCTATTCCTAAGTCTCTTAGACCCAAAGGGTCTTGATGGCTTTAAGAATTTTATCATTTTAAGTGACAAATGAGAGAGGCTACCATTTAGAGAAGGATGGAGACCTCCTTTGCTTTAGGATGTACATCAGGGCTCAGGTTCTACAGCCCAGAACAGATTGGGCCACCACTAGCCTGGTTATCATTCTTAATTATTTCAAAGGGAAGATGATTAATATTCCTGGTCGTTCCTTGGTGCCAGGCACCATGCTAGTTTCACAAACTGTCCCTGTTGAATTGCACAACAACGGCATAGATTGTGTGTCACTGGACCTGAGGATTACTGGGGGAACAGAGCCACAGCGGGGCAACCTTCCCCTAGTGTACAGCTTTAGCTGATAGATCTCGGAGATTATTACGTCCTGAAAGCGGAGGGCCATTCCTGCCTTGCCTTCTTCCCTCGTTCCCAGGCACAGCACCTGGCTGAGTGGCTGTAGCAAGTCCTTGCTGGATGAGCGCAAAAACCAAGCTTCAAATACAGCCCCATCTGCCCCTCCCAAAGCGTGTGCATGTTCCCCGTGGTGCTCTGCCCTCAATTTTTCTGAATAATTGCTGTATAAACCTGCCTAAGCAGAGGTGACGCGCCAGATCCCATCCAGCAGTCAGCAGGTGCCTGAACGCCCTCTGTCCCACTCCGCCATCTCAGGAGACAGCAGCCGTGGACAGCAGAGGAGTGACGATGGAGGGCTTCATGCTATTTGCACAGTCTGTCATGTCTGGGTTTGATCTAGCAACTCATTGACTGACCCTGAGTAACTGTCAGCCAGAGATAGCCCACTGTGTATTTAGTATGAAGCCGGTCACATTCTTTGAAAATCCACACACTATCATTGCCTAGACTGAAGTTCCCTTGGTTTGTACAAAGGATAAGTGTTCGGTATTAGTATTTCTTACTTACATAACTACAATAGGACTTTGCTCTTTCTCCAACATAACCGGGAGTCAACCTGTTGGGGGTGAAAACCCCCAGGACAGCCTGAAGAGTCATAGCTACTAGCAAGGGCATTCACCTCTACTGTAAGCTCTGTTTCATACCCCAAATGCAGACACGCAAATGAAATTTCTGCTCACACCAGAGCTCTGTCACTCACTCAGGATTCAGGATGTACTTTTCCAGGGAGAGGAATAAATGACAGGCAGACTTGAAAGATAGACAGAACCTAAGGGTGCTTTGAATGCTAATTGAAAATGGACCAAATCAGAGAAGTTTGTATGATACACAGCAGTATTGAGATCCTTTCATGGTACTTTGGTGGTGTGTGTGTGAGTGTGCTTTCTATTTACTTTGTCAGGCATGACCTTGCACGAGGAAGATTTCAGTTCAAATCTCATAAGATAATTCTGTTGTCACCTGTTTTTACCTGTTGGACTCAGCTGATATCTGTCCCTGGCAATGGTGACTCTATAGACACTGTCTGCAGATGAGCATTAAAATCACCAGAATCAACCTTCCCAGTGGAATGCAGAATACGGAGAACAGGCTGTCCTCTAGCCTACAGCAGACTATCTCAAGCTTTTTTGTTGGTTAACTTAACATCGTCTTGGCCTAGGAAGGGTGAACCAATGGTTAATAGTGAGAAAGCCTTTTTTGGTGTCTTGTGAAAAGAGCTGTAACAGGATCTTCATAAGTGGCAGCAACACTCTAGTGCCTGCTGGAATTCTACCCTGACAATTATTGTCTGCCACAGACCCTCTGACCACTTTATTTGCAATTTTTCTGTGAGTTCCCAGTCTTTAACTATCCATAATGGTACCTCGGGTCTCTGCCTCCAAGGAAAAGGCCAACTGTCACCCACAGTCTAAATAAGGTTGGCCAAGCAGTCACCTGCTGGTGACCTTGGCTTTGGGGGCTTTCCTGTCATTCAGAAAGAAAATAATGCAGCGTGTAATGAAATCATTATTGACTGCCATGTCTTGTGGGGGCACCAAGGTGAGGGGGCTGTTGCCAGAAAACACGAGAGAGTGGAGGCCCTGTGTACAAGCGGCACTGTCCTCAGGGATGGGTCTCTCAGGCCCAGGGTCAGAATGCCAGAGGTGGGTCTCGGTATGCTTCAATTAGATAGAAATGTGCATCGAATAAAACACACTTAGGGAACTAGAAGTGGCTCGCTGATTGAGAGCACTGGCTGCTCTTGCAGAAGGCTTGGGTTTGGTTCCCAGCACCCACATGGTGCTTCACAACCCTCCATAACTCTGTCCCAAGAGATCTGATGCCTCTTCTGGCCTCCATGGGCACTGTTCACGCATGGTGGACAGACACACGTGCGGGCTAAATACCCATACACATAAAATAAACCTGTGATGAGGAAGGCATGACGGCTGGGACTGTGCTCAGTGGGTAGCAGAGGGGACAGTGGTACAACAACCTAGCCACACCCTGGTGGATCAGACAACAGAGAACTTGAAATGGATGAAAGGTCAGGCTCTAAACTCAAAGGGTCATCTGTTGAGACATGATACTGAAATTGCATAGCGATTCGAATTTTCTAGGCCAATCCCATCTCCCTGAGCATCTCTTGCGAGTGTTTCCAGGACCTTCAGACCCAAAGACAGACTGGGAAAGGTGAGCCGGTGCATCCAAGACTGGCTTCCTGCAGTCTTCTGGGCGGTGGGAGGGATGCAGACGTCTGTTTCCGTCTGCTGATCAAGCCAAGCAAGAGCCAGGTGTGGTTCTCCAAGCCTTTGTGCCGTGTATTGCATTATGAGACTAGCTCGGGGTTAAATGCATTGAAATTACTATAAATGCCCATTTTCCATGCAAGAAAAAATTACATCATTTGGAAGAATTCAGTAAAAGCAAGCTTATTAAACCCCGCTTCTCCAAGTTGGTGCAGACAACACCACTGCAAGCGGCAGAGAGAGTGTTCTAGGAATAACCAAATCGCTGCAGTTGATACATTCTTGTTCTAACTTATGAAGTAGGAACAGGAAATAATAGACAACCTATCCTTTGTCATCTCCGAAATCCCCAGCCAGGTCCAGTCAGTTCAGCTGGTAGCAGAAACCCCCTGGTGAATACACATGGGGGTGTTGGAGAGCCAAACAAAATGTCTAGGTGTGGATGAGTGGATGAGCCAATTGTATAATTGTCTGCACAAATCTCATTTGCATAATTAACGTGCAATGTAGCACACTCACAGAGGGCAGTGTACAGGCTCCTGCACAGATAACGGGAAAGCAGAAGACAAAGGGCTGACAAGTTGACCCCTGCTGTGGGAGCCACCAGACTTAAAGGAGGTCACCTGCTTCCTCCACCAGGGTGTTGGTCAACTCAGTAGTCAACATTTCTCTAACTCTCTTTACCTCTCCCTGTGTTTTTAATGGACACTCCCCCCTCCCTTCACCCCTCCCTCCTCCTCTCCTTTCCTTCCTTCTTCCCTCCTTATCTACCTCCCTCCCTCCTTTCTTTCTTTCCTTCCTTTCCTCTTCCTCCTCCCTCCACCCCTCCCTCCTCCTCTTTCATCCTTTCTTCCCCTCTTCAACGCTTAGCTTAGCGTTTACGGTCTGGCGAGCATGTTGGCTGTGCTGCAGTCTGACGGAGGGCAGTGTATGAGTGAGGTGTGGTCTTTATGCAGGAGAGTGGGGACCGTCTGCAGGGCAGTTCTAAGCTCAGGAGTGGCGCCTAGGCCTGGCCACAGCCACAGCTCTTCCTTCCCCTTTGCTGGGCACCTCGGGCTCCTCTTCTGCGGACACTGCCCCTTCACAGTGGCTCATTTATCGGGTTTGCCAGCCTTTCTCTGACTGTTCTGATGCTTCAAACAGAAACTCCACTATCTCTTAGCCCTTTCAGAGGGAATGGCTCTCTCTCTCTCTCTCTCTCTCTCTCTCTCTCTCTCTCTCTGTGTGTGTGTGTGTGTGTGTGTGTGTGTGCGCGCGCGTGTGTGTGTTTTATTTGATCTTCTAAAGCATTCTGTTGTGTGCAGATCTTGGTGGCAGGATATTAGAAAATTCTCTGGCAACAGAACAAATTGTCTTTCCAACAGAGGTAAATTAACTGTACAGAGGCTGAGATGGAAATAGCCTGAGGATTTCTCATCAGGACGAGCTTCCTACATCACTGGGCACCATCACATGCATCCAGGCATGGCGAGTCAGGAGACAGAAGTTCTTCCAACTCTAGAAATTTTGAGGGAAAGGTTTCTCCTTGGGGGCACAGTGGCCCTTGAAGGACTCTCACTGATCTCTGTGGAAAGTTAGGCAGAACCTAAGAAAACACCCTATATGCTACAGTATTCTACAAGACCTTACTTTTATAAATTAAATGTATTCTTAGCTAACACACGAAAACATAATGATTGTATAATATTATAGAGCATAGTGTAATATTTAAATACATAAGCATCATATATGGTTTAACTTGGGTCAAATACGCTTATGTGGACTTTCCCCCTCTCTAAATGGTAATAATAATCTCAGAAGCCACGGAACACAGAAACATATCCAGAATAGATTCTGCCAAACTAGAATAGCGCCCATCACTATGGAACAATATCTGTAAACCCAGAACAGAGTCTACCGACCTAGAATAGTGTCCATCCATCAATCCAGAACAGAGTCTACCAACCTAGAATAGTGTCCATCCATCAATCCAGAACAGAGTCTACCGACCTAGAATAGTGTCCATCCATCAATCCAGAACAGAGTCTACCGACCTAGAATAGTGTCCATCCATCAATCCAGAACAGAGTCTACCAACCTAGAATAGTGTCCATCCATCAATCCAGAACAGAGTCTGCCAATCCGGAATGGCATCCACCAATCCAGAGCAGATGTGTACAAGGAATAACTCACACCCATGCACACACAGCCTTACTAAGATTGATAGCAACAAATGTGCACAGCTGTATCTGTGACATCTAGCTATGCAAGGACAGCTGCTGCCCCTGGCACATGTGCGTTTCCCATATTTTTTTTGAGAATCTATTGCAAAAGATGATCCAAGAGCCGGGCGTTGGTGGCGCACGCCTTTAATCCCAGCACTCGGGAGGCAGAGGCAGGTAGATCTCTGTGAGTTCGAGGCCAGCCTGGTCTACAGAGTGAGTTCCAGGACAGCCTCCAAAGCCACAGAGAAACGCTGTCTCAAAAAACCAAAAAAAAAAAAAATGATCCAAGATGAATACTTACAAATCACCCCTGGTGATATTCACCAGCATTGCGGATTCCAGCCATTTCAGAGAGCATGGTGTTTCATGTCTTAATGTCCTTCTCTTCTCTCCTCTTCCTCATCTTTCTCTTCCCTGTCCCTTTCTCATGGTGACATTATATATTGTCCTTGCAGTCTGTGAGAAAATCGGGTGACAGAGTTCCAGGTAGGGAGGACAACACCAATGCCAGAGTGGACGCCTGGGTCCCTGAGGCTGACACAGCTTATCTGCACCATGTAACCCTGGTGGGCAACACAAAATGACAGGAAGGCTCATAAACACAGACTCGGGCTTTCAAGGCTAAAACAGACCATTTCAGTATAATAATGATAGCACGACCATTGTCAAAAATTGGATCATATGAGTTATAAAGAAGAAAAATAATCATCAGTAATCTCTCAGCAACAGCTACAACTAACTTTTTGGTATTTCTTTCAGGATTCTTTTCATGTTTGCATGACTGTACACATAATAAAGAAAAAATCCATATCACGCATGACAGTTTTTCAATACCAATAAAGCTTAGTAAATGTTCAAGCATCTTACCATTTTTAACAGGTGCACAGCAGTCCTTGTGTGTATCTCCAGGGGTCACTAACACCCCCTTTAGTGGTCAGTTTGGTTTTCTTTAAAAACTTCATGGTACAGTTGCACTCTCAGAAGCAGAGGGTTGGGATGGGGGTGAGGAAAAATTTTGGTTAGACATGAGAAAGAAATGACAAGAATACAAGCGTGTAGTTGTGACTAATAACAACATAGTGATTCATAAACATTTCCAGAGTTTTTAAAAATGTTTTTAGCACACAGCATTAATCGTTCTTAACACACCACACACACACACACACACACACACACACACACACACTGACATGTGGGGGGGTCAGAGGTCCTACTGTGTGATACTGTTCATTTTATCTCAAGGAACTTCTCACACACTATTTTATTCAGCTGGTATGATTTGTTTGAAACACAATTGTCTAAGATCTACACAAACAACATTTTGAGATGGAGGTTAAATGAAGCGGGAAAGAGACCTTTTTAAAAATTAATTTATAGTTTTAAAGTGTTAGAAAATAATTTTAAGGTTTATCTTGAGTTTCGTGATTTTTTAAAGAGATAGACAGATATAGATAGATAGATAGACAGACAGACAGACAGACAGACAGACAGATAGATAGATAGACAGATAGATAGACAGAAGGTTTGTTGATTTAATTTCTAGAGTTGTAGGTGAAGTCAAGAAGCCAATGAAAACAAAAAGATTTATTGCAGAGAATTCACAGATGAAGTAAATCCCCCAGGTGGACACACCCTTGGCCAGATGTGGTGCTAGGGACTAGGGCACAGCTGGGAAGGGACAGTCACTCCTGGGACACCCACCCCGGGAGTGTGGCAGAGTCGATGGCTGCTGTGACCACCACACTTTGCGCTCCAGATCAGCATGTCCTCAGAGAGTTTAGTGACAATCTGAGACCCGTGCTGCCTCTTCATGATTCTGTGAGTAGGATTGCCCTGGGAGACACTGTCATGCAAGTCTCACCTAAAGCAGTGAGTACCCTGACCTGCAGGGCACAACGGGGGGGGGATTGAGCCATGGGAACCTGGAATGATGGGACAAGAAACAGAAGGTGACAGCAAGACAACATGGCTGATCAAGCTGCAGTTAATGAGAGTTTTGTGCAGGTTTAAATAGAGGTAGGGGGATGCAGGACAAAGAGGAAGGGGTCCTTGCCTGGTAATCGGGCTGAGGAGTGTTCTTGGTCAGTGCCAAGGAGTGTGTTTTTGGTCACATACTGAGGGATGTTGATAGTCACAGACCACCACCAAGGCTGAGCAGCAGGAATGAAGATAAGAGGTTTTAGTAGGTAGGTGCTAATTAACTGTGGATTGCTATCAGCTATTCCTGTGAGGTCAGGTTTTATTCACTAGGAAGCTGGGGAGGGGATGGATTATTCTTTAAAAAAATATTTACAAGAGGTTCGAAATAACAATAATCACTCTCAACAAAGCAGAAAAGCTGGCTAAGTTCAGCCTTTATATAGGGACGCCAGGTATAGAGGGGAGTTTCTTTCCCACCTGGCCTCACAGCCATTTACTCCCAAATAAACACTTATATTAATTGCAAACTGTTTGGCTGGTGGCTCAGGCTTCTTATTGGCTGGCTCTCTCTTAATGATTAACCCATTTCTATTACTCTGTGTATCTCCACATGGTCTTGACTTACTGACGATGTCTGAATCTCCACATAGTCTTGACTTACTGACGATGTCTGAGCCTCTTGCTTCCTCTGAAGCTACACAGCGTCTCCCTCGAGACTCACTCGCGCTCGTGTTCCTCTTCCCATACGTCTCCTAGTAGGCACCCCCAACTATACTTCCTGCCTCGCTACATCCTGCCTTTCCATTGGCCAAAGCAGCTTTATTAATCAACCAATAAGAGAAACATATATTCAGAAGGATATCCACCATCATCTCTACTTTTCTGTCTAAATAAAAAGGAAGGTTTTAACTTTAACATAGTAAAATTCTATATACCAAGACAGTTATCAAGCAAGAATTATAATTACCGCATTTAGCGCATTAACATTTGGCAAATTTTAAAGAAAATATTCTGTCATCTATCCTATCTTTGTGGGGAGCATCTTATAGTGGAATTCAACTTTAAACAGCTGCTCTGCTCTCTCATTAGAACTCTGATCCCAGCATGCCAGTGGGTGGGAAGGCTTACTTTGCTCTCTCACATGTTTACTGCGGGGTCTAAGTTCCCTTCTTCCATCTATCCTCGAGATTCTGTCTTAGTTTCCACCTGGCTGCCCTCCCAGCCTCATCATCCCTCCCGTTACCCCTCCATATAGAAGACACGCGGAAGCTTTTCATTGGATCTTCTGCATGTCATGTCCGCGGTAAGAGAAAAAGGTATGTCTGCTGTCGACAGGTTGTCAGGGCAATGCTAGACTCAAGGAGGCTTTTCCTCCTCTCAGAACCCTTTGTGACATCCCTTACCGTTGCCTTTCAGCATCCATCTGCCTCGCTCAGCCCCAGACGACTGAGAGCTTCGTAGGCCAATGGTGTTTTCCTGGGCTCTGCAGCACTGTGGCCTGAGAGATAATTAACACGGCTCTGGAAGTTCTGCTACAGCCATCCCTTCCTTCCCTTCCCAGGCAGTCTGCAGACATTTGCAGAAGGAAAAAGTAGTGGAGCTATGCTATAGTGTGGGCGTGACTAACCATACAATGGCAGGGTTCAGAAGTTCGGGGACACTCTTTGTTATAACGACATGTTTCATGCTCATCTAACTCACCGTCCTCCCACTCAGGCAGCTCAGAGCCTTGGCGATGTGGAATAATGATCCTTGTTGGTGTCTAGTGGTACTCACTGTGTCTGAGGCATAGTCACATTTGAAAGGTTATTGCTAAGGAAACTGGATGTGCTGGTTAGTGTCGCTTGGGGAGAGGGAACCTCACTTGAAGAATTGCCTCTATGGGGTTGGCCTGTTGTCATGTCTGTGAGGAATTTTTTTGGTTGATGTTTAATGTGGGAGGGCCAAGCCTACTGAGGCACCATCGCAAAGCAGATAACTCCAGATTATATAAAAAATGACCAGAGAACCAGATTCTCTCAGTTTCTACTTTAGTCTGTCAGTGATTCCTGGTCCACTCTATTCTCTACCTCACGACAGCTTCCTTTGCCACATTCCCCCATCTCCATGATGCCATGCCTTGCCTCAGGCCCTCAGTAGTAGTCAGAGACCAGTCAGACACCTCTGACATTGTAAGTCAAAATAAAAACAAACCTGTCTCCTGTTGAATCATTTCTCTCAAGTGTTCAGACACACTGATAGGAGTTAATTCACAGAAATAGAGTTATCTAAATATACTCCATCATTGACAAGCAAATGCTGAGTCTTTGCCAGGGGACCCTATCAGCTAACGTAGCTAGCTCACTATAAGGTGTAGAACCGTTGTGTGATGAGCAGTTGGAGTGTTGCTGTCCACAGCAAGTCCTGTGGAGAGAGAGAGGTACAGGCTTGTGCTGGGAACCATAGTCTGCCATCACGGGAATAATCTACTGTCAAGAAGATGGGGGAGAGTCCAGTGTGGTGACACAGGCAAGGTGTGTGTGTGTGTGTGTGTGTGTGTGTGTGTGTGTGTGTGTGTGTGTGTGTGAAATCCTTGTGTTCAGTGGAGGTTTCTCAGCTTCTAGTGTGCCATAAGCTATGATGCCTGACAAAACCAAGACCACCAGAATCAACCCCAGCCACCGGCTCCTGGCTCCCTTGTTTTGCAAACTTGAGACATGGAATTCCAGTACAACAGGAGGGTGGGTTTAAAAGGAGTTTTGTTGCAAGTTTACAGGTGGGAGCTCAAGAGAAAGAGACAGAGCTCCTGCACAGGAGAAGCGGGTCCCAGAAAACAGACTGCCATCTGGCTGCGAGTCTAGGAGCTTCACAGATAGGGACAGGGCCTTCAGAAAAGATGACCAGGAAACAGTGAGCCAGCACAGCCGAGCCTAGTTGTCAGTGTGAGAGTCCCCATGATGAAGGGAAACAAGTAAACCCTTTCTGAGAAGGATTCATCCTCCGCGCTGGTGGGTCTGGCCCATTGGAGAACGTCAAGCCGCCATGTTGGAGAGAAGGGCACGTGGCAAGTGTATTGGGGAGAAAGGGGGCTGGTACTATGACTGTGGTGAGGAGAGAAAGAGGGAGAGGAGGAGGGAGGGAGGGAGGGAAGAAGAGAGAGAGGGAAAGAGAGGGAGAAAAAGAAGGAGAGAGGGAGGGAGAGGGGGAGGGGGGAGGGAGGGAGAGGAGAGGAGAGGAGAGAGAGAGAGAGAGAGAGAGAGAGAGAGAGAGAGAGAGAGAGAGAGAGAGAGAGAGAGAGAGGCTCAGGTTTTGTAGGGGGTATGGGGCTTGCACATAAGGAAAATATCTGAAGGCGTAAATGTGTATTATTGTGATGATAAAGCGGTGGAAATTGGAGTGCCTCTGGCAGGCTGGGTCAGGACTAGCAGCTAAGAGAGCATGCTCCGTGCAACAGATCTAGTGTAAGAAGTATTGGTATTGGGGGAGGGAGGAGGGTGAAAGAGCTGAAGGCAGTCTTGGAGTGGGGCATGAGAGATGCAGACAGACAGACAGACAGACAGACAAACAGACAGAGAGAGAACAGGCAAAGGAGCAAGAGAGAGAACTGTGGCTGCTGTCCACTTTTAAGGGTGTGACTGTCGCAGAGGGAAATGTGCAGCTTGTAGGGACCATGGAAATGGTGGCACACTGGGTGGCAGGCCGGCCAGAGCTAATATTAGTGACAGCGTGTCACACTAACCTTCGGTGACGGTGACGATTGAAGGTGGGTTGAGGGATGGGGAGCACCTGATTGTGGAATGTGAGTTGTTCTTGGTTGACTGACACTAACCATCCTGCCAGCCTCTGTTAACAGCCCAGGCCCAAGACTGAGAAAATGCAGAAAGCCCGGGTGTTAGCTGGTGACAGCAAGGTAGCTCTCAGAGACTCCCGAGCCTCCCTCAGGCTATTCCTCCCTCTGCTTCTGGGAACAACCTTGCAAGAGGGCCCAAGCACCTTTCCTGTCTCTTGATTTCTCCACATTCCAAGAATCCATGTTTTGGGGTGACATGTTCTGAATCCCCATTGTAGTGGGGAGCTTCATTCTTTGTCTCCGAGCAATATCCAAACAGAATGCTTGAGCTGGCTAGGAACATCTGGATTTCACATATCTGCTCATGCTCACATGTGGGCTCCCACAGTGAGAGATGGCACACTGCTCAGGGAGCAAGGTCCTGGGTGTTATAGTGGAAGCCTCACCCCAGCCCCTGGCATCCATACACCCAAAGAGTCTGGGTCACCCTCCCCTATCTCCCTCCAAACCCTGCTGCATCTCAGAAAGCCCGCCAAATGATGATTCTTTCCCCAGAGATGCTCAAGACCACTCCCAGAGGGTAATTAAACTGCCCCCCCCCCAAAACCAGACTCATGGCTTTTCCGGTTTCCCTTTCCTGTCTCCTCTCTGGTGGGCTGGAAGGCCATCCAGGAGCACTGTATTCATTAATTGTGAACTTTT